TGTTTTCTGACTGCTACCAGATTGTAGCGTCGTGGTTTTCTGTAATTGTCTTGCGTTTCTCCGGGATAGCTGGGATGAGGGATTTGTTCATCCTTCATCAGTTTTCGTCTACACCACATTTATCCATCTCCTTCTTCGTTTTCCTCCAGGGTGTTCTGTTTCAAGTAGAGTTTCATATGCAGCTTGGTCTGGCTGCCTTCTCACTAGATGGTCGCCCATTTCATTCTTTGTCTGTCAATGTATTTCGAACACGATCTTATTCCAACTTTCTTTCTAATGGTGGTGCGGTTTCGTACCCTCTCCGTTCTCAGCACGCATCGGGCGGCACTCGATTGGTGATGTGGTCAACATCACACCGACACCAGTGGGCATGCGATGGGTGATGTGGTCACCGTCATACTGGCACCTATGGGCACTAGTTGGGTGATGTGGTCACCGTCATACTGGCACCTATGGGCACTAGTCGGGTGATGTGGTCACCGTCATACTGGCACCTATGGGCACTAGTCGGGTGATGTGGTCACCGTCATACTGGCACCTATGGGCACTAGTCGGGTGATGTGGTCACCGTCACACTGGCACCTATGGGCACTAGTCGGGTGATGTGGTCACCGTCACACTGGCACCTATGGGCACTAGTCGGGTGATGTGGTCACCGTCACACGTCACACTGGCACCTATGGGCACTAGTCGGGTGATGTGGTCACCGTCACACTGGCACCTATGGGCACTAGTCGGGTGATGTGGTCACCGTCACACTGGCATCTATGGGCACTAGTCGGGTGATGTGATCACCGTCACACTGGCACCTATGGGCACTAGTCGGGTGATGTGATCACCGTCACACTGGCACCTATGGGCACTAGTCGGGTGATGTGGTCACCGTCACACTGGCACCTATGGGCACTAGTCGGGTGATGTGATCACCGTCACACTGGCACCTATGGGCACTAGTCGGGTGATGTGGTCACCGTCACACTGGCACCTATGGGCACAAGTCGGGTGATGTGATCACCGTCACACTGGCACCTATGGGCACTAGTGGGGTGATGTGGCCACCGTCGCACCGGCGCCTATGGGCACTCGTTGGGGGATGTGGTCCACATCACACTGGTCGCCTTTACTACCCAGGATTTAGTACCCATTTTAGATTGAGTCTACGTGGGAGCCAGGGTAAAAAGAAATTTTTTTCTACGGATTTAAACTGAGGGCCTTCAGACGAGCGTTGCGCCCTCTACTTTCTTTGCCTAGCAATGTCTCTCCTTAATCCAAAGCTACTTTAGGACATTATAAATATCTGTACAAAATGAGAGGAGGGATTACACATATATTAGAATGTATATTTTCATGAGTTAGTAAATAAGGGGCTGCATGGTCTCGAGGCATGGTGTCCGCCTCTAGTGCTAGAGGTTTCGGTTCCCCTTGGTCTCTGGGTAGTGAGATCGGATGCCCGTGTGCATTGTTGCGCACTTAAAAAAATCCCCTGGCAGTTGGAAATCGAAAAGAGTAGCCTAACGGCGCTGCCCGGGCAAAATGTGGAGTTAAAAATCTACCCAAAGTATTTTACGATCCCCGCCGGTGCTACAGAGCCTGTGCACTGTGCTGAGCTTCTTCGGACTAGACTCGAGTTAGAAGAAGAATGGAACACTTTTGGGTACTACCGTGTGCCAGGTGCTATTGGGAGCCGCGTTAGCGCAGTCGATAAGAGGCTCTCTTTCAAATCCAGCTGCGACTCGCTGCAGCCCACGGTCAGTGTTCGAAACCGGGCGGTTTCCGGGGTTCACCCATCCTCTAGGAAATGGGTACAAGTGTTGACACTCTGGGGTAAATGGAGAAACGTGGCTGTAGCTACAGAGCACGGCCATCTTGAGATATAGATTTGTAATACGAATACGTTTAGAACACAGGACTTTGTAAACATATTAAGATGTCACACAATGCAACATGGAAACGATGCCAGTAACCTATTTTCGAGGGGGACCCCCCAAAATGTACCGTGGTTCAGTTGGCAGGACTGAAAGATACAGATGGGCGTGCTACAGAGTTACGTGCGAACGGCGACACAGGCGGACAATTCTTATCAGCTGTCCGTACTGGTGGCAGAGCACGTATGGTTTATAACCGTGTGCAATGACGCTGGTTCACATCTCCCGACTTTACCTTTACCTTTTACCCGTGTTCATCCGTTGTTCAAACCTCAAACTTCATGAACGAGTGAATCAATAAATAAATTGACATCACGGCACTTAGAATATTCCCTCATGTGCTCCATCCCCATTTCAGCAGCAAAAAAAGAGTGGACATTCTAATGGTGCAAGTACCTGATTAAAAGTCTGCCTTTGTTTCCCCCTCAGTGTTCACTATTTTTCAGAACGTCTACTTTCACCACCCGTGCCACCCCACCCACGGGTTGAATTAGTCTTTACTTACTTGGATAAACTAATAACCTAAACTAGATACTATTCGCAGTAAACGTCTAAGGAGAATCTTGCGAATATTTTGGTCAAACAGGATCACACACGAAGAACAGCATGCGCACAACACACACATATATTTAAACAATCAGACGTCTTGCATGAACTTTATGACAGGAACGGTTGTCTTGTGTTGAGTAGCAACATTGTAATACAAATTATTTTTGTTACAGTACAGTCTAAGTGAGGGGCCCCTGAACCAGGGGCTCAAGTACCTTAAGGGCTCCCATTTTGTAAGAGGTCGGCGCTGAGCCAACCTAGAAAATTTATAAGTGGACTTTGTAACCCCCCCCCCCCCCTCCCTCACTCCCCCCCGACCCATCGAATACTATACAGTTATAAGGAGCTCTGAGGCCACCCATCCGTCCTCAACTAGAAAATTATAAGAGGTCTTTGCTCCACTCCCGTGATTTCTTTGTTGCTGCGCCCCTGTGGTAATCCGGGTGGGTGATGTTCCGTTGTGTAGTCCATGCTTGCCTGATATAGCTTTGCCTTTCGAGAGCAGGTGTTTTGCCAGTACATCCGAAAAAGTAGGGGTGGGGGGGGGGAATGAGAGCAGTGTTATAGTAGTTGGTATATATACAGTATCATCGTCATCATCATCATCACCACCACCATCATCACCACCACCACCATCATCATCATCAGGTGCCTTGTCGTGGGGCAATCATACCTCTCCACAATCATGCAGTGTCTAAGACCAAACATATCAGTTATTATGCCGACACCCCTCCATGCCATTACAAAAGACAGTAAGGATTCTTCTAGCGTTGTCTTTCTCTGTCTTTCTCTACATGAAGCGCTCTGATCCCATCTTCAGTATGTCCCCCAGCGTGTGGCGACTGATAACACCAATCTGTGTTGGTTTACTATTCTTCTTTGGCTACTTGTATAGTGTTCTTGTCTGTCGACACCTCTTTTTACCTGAAGTTCTTGTAGCCTTTTGAATGTTGCCGACTCAGCGGTGTCTCCTCGGTCCATTGCTTTTTACTTTTTTTTTTCAAAGCATTCTTCAGTGTGTGAACCACATTTCTGAGGCCTCAAGAACTTGTTTGGATTGTTCATTAATTGTCCATGATTTACAGCTATATATTAAAACTGGCTTTAAAAAGTATGAGAGTTCTAGCTCTAACTTCCCATTACAGTAATTTACTGCATAACATGTTCATCATTAATTATAAAAATAAAAAAGGTTTGTTTTGCCTGTCCCATCCATGTCTCACGTTGACATAAAGTGTCACAAGCTACACAATAGAGTGCAATAATTAACACAATGCTAAAATAATAATAATAATAATAAAAGTACCACTACTAATCAAAATAGTATTTTTTAATACTGTAATTATTATATGACAGCTCTAAAAAAAAAACAAGGAGTAATCGACCCCCCACCCCCAATTCGGGCTTCAGAACCAACTGAAAGAGGTTTTGAAAAGGCGGGAGCCCGAAGACAACTAATCACAGAAATGAGAAGGAGACAGTCATCATTTTTTGGCCATGTTATGAGAAGAGGGAAAATTGAACATGTTGTGACCACTGGAAATATCTGTGGAAGGAGGGATAGAGGAAGACAACGAGAAAAGATTCTTGACAGTCTTGTTGCACGGCATGGAGGTGTGTCCGCACACGATCTGATACATGCTGCAGGAGATCGTGGATTGTGGAGAGGCGTGATCGCCCACGCCAGTTTTATTCACCAAACAATACTATAGCGGTGCTCTGGCGCGTCCTGGTACGAGTAGATAGCTGGAAGGAGAAATTGTTCATTCTGGAAGGTTCCACCAAACCCGCCCCAGTAAAACACTTATTTGTATTCTAATCTTTCTCTTATCTTGCTCTTGCTCCTAATCCACTTCCTCCTCGTCCTCATCATTCTTGTTCTTGTTTTTCTTCTTGTTCTTGTTCTTCCTCTTTTTCTCTTCGTCATTAAAAGAGCTGTTGGTACACTGTGACAGGATGTACAGCTAGGCTGCGATATTTACGCCATTGATCAGACCATATCCGATTCCACTACACTCGTAATTTGTCGCCTTGTACGACCTGCATGTCAGGCGCAAGGGACCTATTTTACCCCTCCTAAATTGTGCCTTTTTCATATTGCCGAATTGAAACTGTTTATCCAATCGATACACAAACATTATCCACAATTATCTGTACATCTATGTATATGTTTAATATACACAACATACACGCGCAACCTGTTTCGACCTCCCACTCAGAAACAACATATAGATTGTAACATCACAACAGCTGTGTTTGTGGAGCGAGCGCACGGACGAGGGCGCGCTCGTGAAAATATCAGCGAGAGCTGCGTAGTGGAGTCGGCGCAACCGCCGCTTGTCAATGTTATGCCAATACTGTTGTTAAAGTGAGAGATCGCGGCTGACGACCAACCCTTGTCAACTCATACACATTTCCTAACTGGCAGGCCGTCCGCTGTGGCGCTGTTTGTATTCGGAGTATACACTGTACTATGTGTTTTCTACTGTATTCTTTGTGGTTGTTAGAGCGCGTTCGGTGCTAAACATGAATTTCGAGATTCCACCAGGGTTAACGGACTTACTGCAGGACTTTACTGTCGAGGTGCTTAGAAACCGCCCAAGGAATTTAGAAGAATTCGCTGCCCAGTATTTCAATGTGTTACATGCTAAAAAGAACGGGCCCGCCAAAACTAGCGGCGGGGGTTCTTTGAGATTTCAGACTGATGCAAGTGTGAATGTTTTTGATAGAGAACCATCTTCTGAAGAGGAGGAAGATTACGACGATGATGACGAGCCAATGCCACCAGGTAACTTCAGAAAGAGGCTGACTCTTGAACAAGGGTCACGTGTTAATATACTGAAATTTAGGCAGTTTTCATTTGCTTGTATTGGTGTCTGTGTTTTAGAGGTTAGAAACAGTTTCATAATTCCAACATGGTCGATTCTGCAAGTCACTTTGCGACATTCCAAGTTCGATTAAGCAACTTTCTTTGTGTTTTCGACATCAACAGAATTTAGGTTGACCGTTTAAAAGGCAATAGAAAACTCTTGTTTGTACCTTTTTTAGTTTCTGTCTCACACAGTGTTACATTGTGCTATAGCAGAGGTATCCAGTCTGGAAAGAGGGGGGGGGGGGTAGGGGGATGGGGCGGGGGGGGGGGGGGGGTGGAGGCATGAATCACTTGGGGAGGGTGATGGATGTGGGAGGCGTAGGGACTTCTCAAATGGAGGGGGGGGGGGGGGGAGGGGAGGGGAATTGTGAAGTTTTTAAGTAAAAAAAAAAAAAGGGGGGGGGGAATCAAGCAATTTTGGTAGTGCGTTTGTACTAATAATAATCAGGATTTTCGGCTTTGACAGTCATGAAAACAAAACTGCGCTGCCAGCTTGGTGTGGAGAGTGATCTCCCTGGTGCCTTGTCCAACCTTAATATAGCAGATATCGTCAAGTCAAAACAGTTTCAACCATCACATTGATATTTCTATATGAAAGTACTAGTTGTTGGTGATTTTATTTCTGTTTTTATAGGTTGTTGCGTATCCTTTACAGGACGTTGCAGAACCAACCCCAACAGCCTATAGCTGTTGTGTGGTTTTTCTAGGCAAATTTACGTCCAGTAGTTTGCTATTGCCCCTGGACGGTCGGCTTTCTTGATACCACTGTCGAAACCAACGCAAGGCACGTGACCCGCAGCTGGGATCGAACCCGGCATCCCGGCATTACGAAGGGTTCGCATCGACCTAGCCACAGGGCCGACTCTGTTTTTATAGTTATTTTAAATATAGAATTATGTCCTTGTTTGTGTACACGGTGGGTTTAACAGTAGTTGGGATGCTTGGGTATTTAGGTTCTCTGCTGTGAAAAAACAAATTGCCACGTTCAACCAGCATATCCGAAGGGGGAGCTTTAGGTTATAATTGTGACTAGGTTATGTACGGTTTGTAAAATGTCTTAGCATTACATGCCACCAAGAGAGAACCCTGAAAAAGACCCGCAGTGTTGATGCGATCAAAGAAGACAGACCCAAATGCTGTCCCGACCGGCGACGGGGTCGTCTACCGGCCAGCCAATGAGGACCAGGTCGCCGATGCGGTATCAGTCATGTCCACACATCTTTATATCGTAGTAGAGACCGACCTCGATATATTCTTTCAATCTGTAATTCACAAAAAAGAAGGTGTCTGTATGACATCTACTGTCCTCCATTGTCCGGGTATGTTCCTAATCATCTAAGACATCGAAGACTCAGCATTGAGAAAACATGTGTAATACCTGCTCTTTCCAATTACCTCAGTGTTTGGGACCTTGTCTTGCTCTGTAATCTCAGTTGTTCTTCACAGTTATCGCTTGTGAATGCTGTCTCAACCTCTCTGTCCGCTTGTCTATCTGCCTACCTGTCTGTTTTTCCACAATGTATGTCTCCACGGGTGTAAAACAGTTGGAGAACACTGTTCATTAAAATCACAGACTAGACTGCGAGTCTTTGGTGAGCTCCAAGCTTGAAAATCAGTCCTCAGCACTGTTAGTGCCTCATTCTTTCTTTTTTGTCTTTCTTTCTGTCTTTCTGTCTTTCTTTCTTTCTTTCTTTCTTTCTTTCTTTCTTTCTTTCTTTCTTTCTTTCTTTCTTTCTTTCTTTCTTTCTTTCTTTCTTTCTTTCTTTCTGTCTGTCTGTCTGTCTGTCTGTCTGTCTGTCTGTCTGTCTGTCTGTCTGTCTGTCTGTCTGTCTGTCTGTCTGTCTGTCTGTCTGTCTGTCTGTCTGTCTGTCTGTCTGTCTGTCTGTCTGTCTGTCTGTCTGTCTGTCTGTCTGTCTGTCTGTCTGTGTCTGTCTGTCTGTCTGTCTGTCTGTCTGTTGTCTGTCTGTTGTCTGTCTGTCTGTCTGTCTGTCTGTCTGTCTGTCTGTCTGTCTGTCTGTCTGTCTGTCTGTCTGTCTGTCTGTCTGTCTGTCTGTCTGTCTGTCTGTCTGTCTGTCTGTCTGTCTGTCTGTCTGTCTGTCTGTCTGTCTGTCTGTTTGTCTGTCTGTCTGTCTGTCTGTCTGTCTTTTTGTCTATCTCTCTGTCTTTATGTCTGTCTGTCTGTCTGTCTGTCTGTCTGTCTGTCTGTCTGTCTGTCTTTTTTCTTTCTTTCTTTCTTTCTTTCTTTCTTTCTTTCTTTCTTTCTTTCTTTCTTTCTTTCTTTCTTTCTTTCTTTCTTTCTTTCTTTCTTTCTTTCTTTCTTTCTTTCTTTCTTTCTTTTCTTATCTTTATTGTTTAATAATATAATTATTTTATTACTATCTTTGTTTGTTTATATCTATCCTTACCAATTGCAATCTTAACTGTTCTTTACCAAACATTTGTTAGCTGTAAACTTGTATATGCCTGCGTTTTGAGAAATCAGCATAATAATCGACATTAACTGTGAAATCGATCCAGTCTAACATGGGTACCGGAACATGCCTGGGAAGTAAAGGCGACCACATAACACATTAAGCAACGTTTAGTCTATAATAAAATAAGCGTATGGCACAATAGGGTGCTATTAAACAGCATTAGGTCTGTGGTTAAGTACCAGCAAGGAAATCAGAATTATAATTTTAAGAGCACGCATCTTTCCTGTAGCAACACAAGGATGTGAGTCGTGGACTATCTCCCAGTCCTTAAGAAAGAAGATATGGGCTTTTGAGCTGTTGCTATAGAAAGATTCTCAGAATACCATAGGCAAAGAAGAGAAGAAATAGTAACATTTTGACAGATCAGAACATCAAGGAAGATTGGCTAATAGACAATAAATCTTGACTCGGAAGCTGAAATAGTTTGGTCATGTCAAGCGCCACGACGGATTGGACAAAAACATAATAGCAGAGGGCATGGTATCAGGAAGCAGAGGCAGGGGTCGACCAGCACGAAGTTGGGCACAAGATATTAGGGATTCCCTGGATATAAAAGTGCATGGGGCGGGAAAGCCCACGTGGGACCTAGTTTTTTTCAGACAGACCGCGAGGAGAGCGACGTTCTGTAAAAGACCTACTTGATGATGATGATAGGACAACTGTGACAATGGCGTGAAGTTGAGATTTTACATGCTAGTAACCCAGTATTGTAATAAGCATAACAGCAGTTTGGTAAAGTTAATTATTATATTGATTGCATTCTAACGTCAATGGCCATGCAGCTGTTTAGGCGGATTTAATTTTTGAGAAGCGCTGGTCGAATGGTTAAAATGAGCGCCTCCTAAGCGGGAGACCCAGGTTAAAATAATCGATTGTGGATTTCTTTTCTGTCGGCAAAAGTAGCAACCTTACCTGCACAGTCCGTGGCGACAGCACTAGCCATGCGGCCCTAAATCATCAGGCTCTGAGATCCCCCGTGCCTGCACACGCAGAAGTAGCAAATGCAGGCAGCATTGTCTTCAGAGGACAGGAGAAAAAATAATCATAACAGGTATACTAGGTGTAACGAGGAAACATCGACTTAGGAACGATGATACCAGAGAGTCGGCACAGAACCAATAGTGAACTTTAAAGGTAGACAGCAAATCAAATGGTTTGGCCATGTAACAAGATTGGCACCAGACAGGGCATCACAGAGAGCCGCGATATAAAGGTACAACGGTAAAAGAGCCAGAGTTCGACCACGCAGAAGATGGACCACATAAATATCAGTGGCACTGAAAAGTACTTTATACGAAGTGAACAGAAGGGCCCATTCTAGAGATCTCTTCCTGTCCTGACGCCGTGCGGGATTCTAGGAGTAGAAACAAGAAGAATGACATTTTTGACAGAGTAATGTTTTGACTGCATTTCATGCGAGCGGTTAAGTAGCTGTTTAAATGAAAGTAATGATTGAAGTGATGGTTTGAGACACGAACAGGTACAGCAGCAGCGGGTGTAGATCTGATATCCTGATCTAAGGATGGTCATATTAGCACACCGAGCGTACCAATAGATGCTCCGTCTCCCGCAGCAAATGTCTTAAGGTGAAGATGGTAACTGTTGCCGTAGTACAGAGCTGATAAAATCGCTTTTATCTTCCCTCCTTGTCGGATCCACTCATAGTTTCTCATTCACATATTCATCATCATCATCATGTGCCTTGCCGACTGGCGTGGGCGATCATGCCTCTTCATAATCTGCGATCTCCTGCGGCATGTATCAGTTCGTGTGCGACACACCTCCATGCCATGCAACAAGACTGTCAAGCATCTTCTCTCGTTGTCTTCCTCTATCCCTCCTTCCACAGATCTTTCCAGTGGTTACAACATGTTCTATTTTTCCTCTTCTAATAACAAGAGCTGAATATTGAAGAGGGTTGGCTAGTAAAGACAATAAAACAAAGAAAATTGAAATATTTTGGTCACTTGAAACGTCATGGAAGTCTAGAGAGAACAATAATGGAGGGGTATATGCCTGGGAAGAGAGGAAGAGGAAGGCCAAGGAGAAGATGGGTGCAGGATGTGGCAGATGATCTCCAGATGGGTGTATCAGACGCAGGACATCTTGCTCATGATAGGAAGGTTTTCCGGAGGGTTGTTATGGCAGCGAGGTTCCGCGAGGGACATGCTACTGAATGAATGAATGAATAACATGGCCGAAAAATGATGACTGTCTCATTCTGATGTCTGCGATAGTTGTCTTCGGGCTCCCGCCTCTTTCAAAACCTCTTGGTTGCTCCTTTTGGTGGTCCAAGGTATTAAAACTACCCATAATACCCTTCATTTCAACCAATATGTGTTTTCTGACCAACAAAAAGGTCGCGACCCACAGGTTGAGGTCCGCTTCTATAGGGGATGAAGTAGCAATTATGTTGTTGAGTTAATTAATGTAATTAGTAAA